TCAAGCTCAACAGGGTCTTCTTTCCCCGCTGATTTTGCCAAGCCCGTTCCCTTGGCTGTGGTTTCGCTAGATAGCAGCTAGGGACAGTGGGAATCTCGTTCATCCATTCATGCGCGTCACTAATTAGATGACGAGGCATTTGGCTACCTTAATGACCTTGTAGTACCATATGATTGTTGAGTTTTCTCTGTATCCATTATTGTACAATCTACTGTAGAATATAAAGCGCCTTGAGGCGACTGTTGTGATTGGTAACTATATAAATAAAATTGAATTGAATAAATACGAGCCCACCGGAACGGAAGTGTTTTGTTCAGGCAATAATTAGTAGCACTACAATTACTCAATCTTAATCACAGCAAATCCACTCATCATGAGCACCTATGCAAGGCCTAATCTCTCTAAGGTAAGAGCCCAGCTCAGGGATTGTGCATTGCCCAACTAATATTGCATCAGTCCAGTAGACATAAAAGCAAACCCAAAATAAAGATATCAGTTTTAAAATGTGATCCTACTCTAAAACCAACTCGGGAGGAAAACACAGCAAAAAAGAGAAGAAGGAAAAAACAATGATTTTTTTTTTTTCACCCGCCTTTCCAATTGTGATCTTTGGCCATCAGAATTATTGTCTAAAGGCAAAGAAAATGCCCAACAAATTTACTTTAGCAAGTGGACCATCCCGGCCTTGCCGTATTGGTCCATTTGATTGACCTCTGTTTTTATTATTTATTTTATTTTATTTTCAGTTGCTACACACGGAACTGACATGACTGGGGGAAGGGAAAGGGAGAAAGAAAGACAGGTAGGGAAAGAGCTGAGGAGATCCCCAGACGAGGGGTTACTCAGCAGCCGCGGAGCAGAAGCCAGAAGGGGTTGTAGTGACGTGCTCGTGAGCTCTGCCGACAGCCAGCTGTGCCAGAGTGGACCGAGCCCCAGGCCCAGAGGTCGAGGGCACCCCACCCCACCGAAGGGGCCCGACCGAGCTACAGGCACCAGGCCCCAAAAGCAGCTAACGGGAGTGAGCCGATGCGTACCTGAGTGCCCACACCAAGAACCACCAATTTACCGATGTCTGAGGGCGTCAGCCACTGGCAGGGGGAGTGTTGGGGGGAGATAGGCCTCCATACCTTGGACGGCCTGACATGTCCCTAGAGAGGTGGTGTCTGATACCCGACCTGACATATAGACAGAGACAAACAGGCACACACAGATACCAACATCCATCCCCACGCCCCATGCACACATATGCAAATACTAGACACTGTACACACAATCACACTCCCCAAAGGTACTCTATACCCCCGGTCTAGGTACCTTTGCCCAGCACAGCACTCAGACCCAGGAGGTGTTCACAGTAACTCATCAGGGCGAGGAGAGAAGAGCAGCACCTGTCACTACCTCTTTTATACCCTCACTATGATCCCCTGGAACCTAAAGCCGTCCCTACTACAAAAACTTGAAAAATTTGAAATTCTAACCGTTTTGATAATAACGTGCAAAAACTCATAATTAGAGCGCATTTGTCTTTTCTCTCATAAAGAAACCCCTACATGTTCCACCTTTTTGTGATTTTCTTTTTTTTTTTTCCTTTTAATTTTCTCAGTCAATGTGTAGTTTTCCCTTCATATGAAATAAACTTTACAAAACAAATCAAAACATGAACTTCAAACTTAGGAACTAAACTGGGAACATGAACCTAGAAACTGGGAAGTTCACATGAGGAAACAAATAGGAACACAGGAACACGAAACAAACACACAGCATAATGAGGGTATGACATCAAGCTGACAACAACAAGCTGGGGAAGACTGAGAATTAAAATACACAGGAACACAAGGAGATGGGGAACGGGTGGAAACACAGCTGGGACTAGTCACACAAAAGAAGATGAGGGAAAAGAAAAACTAGACACACTGCAGACAGGACAGGGCTATCAACATAAAACAGGAAGCACAACACCCATCAGGACGCAGACTAGATACTAAGATGTGGAACACGGGGAAGGGCACAGAAACAGGACAGGAAACCAGAAACTCAAAATTGTCAATATAACACAAAAAAAATAATAAAATTCAAGGAACCTAAGTTAACCCAAAAAACACTAATACTGTCACGTCCGGTGTGGCAGATGTGTGGAGTTTGTAGAAAGGACCCAAAATGCAGCAGCTCTGGTGCTCTGATACAACCAGAAATGGCGAGAGTGAGCATGAACTAAGAAAACCTAAACTGGAAAAACTAACAGAACTAACCAGAAACCAAGATGCAGGGAGGTACGAGGAAATACACGGAGAGACGGACGGAGAGACCGAGGGGAACAACACAGATGAACCAGCAACGACGACAGGTGAACACACACTATAAATACACACACCAGTAATCAGGGGATGGGAAACAGGAGGGAGACACACCTGGGAGACATAACAGCTGACGAGGCAGGGGAAACGTAAACAGAACACACTGACATAAGACAGAGACCTTCAAAGTAAAACAGGAAACACATACACGTAATGACGTAATGACACAAACTCAGAGACGCGGACTAAACACAGAGACCTACAACACTAAGGGGATACACAAGCGACACCAAACAAAAACTAAACCCTAGCAAACCCAAAACAACAGTCATAATACAAAACTATCAAAAGTAAGAGTACATAACCAAAAATACTGGGCCCCCAGACCCAGGACTGTGACAATTTCAGCTTCTGTTTTATTTAGTACCAGTTCCTTTCTCAACTGGAACTCACATTCTCATTCCTCCTCCAACTGAAGGCATGCCAGATGGACTCTCAGTGTCACACCCATTTCAACCATTGGAATAGGTTCAGCAAATACACAAATTGAGGCACGTTTATGTAGAGCAGAGCAAGCTGGCTGTTTGTTTTGACAAACCTAATTAAGGTACCACCACACACACCAGCTAACCCAGTAGCAGAGTAGTAACTAAACTGTAGTGATGTGCGGATCGATACTGAAATATCGATTCCTCTGATACCAGTCATTTATGTTCTAGAATCGATTCTCACATTAAAATATCGATATTTTAGTAATTTAGGGTAAATTTGTAGTTTATCATTAACAGAAACACAGTGGAAAGAAACTATATCATTTGGAACATCTACATTGGAAGGAACTACTTCCTCTTCCGCCTTTCATAGTCATGTGCGAAATACGGCTGTATAAATGTGTGGCAGCCCCTTGGCGTGCGCACTCACATCAATGGCTGAGCGTAATTGGAGTTGTTGGACGTGGTTTACATCCACAAACAGCCGAGACGTGGTTTGCGAAAGAAAGAAGAAAGTGAGGTGTTGTGGCAACACCACTAACCTTGTCAAACACCTCAGAGTAAATCATATCACAGAATATGACGAGCGTATGTTGAGGTGAACTGAAGAGGAGGAGAGGGACAGGTGATGCTAGGGCGAGACAGGCGTCTCCTGTCCTTTAGTGCTGCAGATAGGCAAGGTGTTCAATTAGCGCACAACTTCAGTTTTTTTATTTCTATATGATGAATTCTGCATTATTAAGTGATAAGAACAAGTAATCTGATGTCCTGTAATCATTATGACACTATAATTTGAGATACAATAAAAGATACAATAAATAAAATAAGCTTTTGTACAAAGTATCGGTATCGGATCAGTATCGTCGATACCACCCTGAATTTTACTTGGTATCGGATCGGAAAGGAAATCAGTGGTATCGCACATCACTACTAAACTGCTAAACAACTTAATGTTGAACTTAACCAACTTACTTATAGTGGCATATGTATATTTAAAAAAACAACATAAATATATAAAAAAGAAAACCCAGTTCCCAAAAATACTAAACTTTACCAAACATTTTGGAGCATTTTGGTCTCATGAGAAATTCTGAATTGAACAGCTCTGAATTGCCTACCCTCAACAGGCAAAATCAGCAGAATATCATCAAAAGCCAAAATAATACTAATGCCATATCCCCTTTGTCAGACCTTGGACAAGCTCCCACTTGTTATGCTCCCCAAAAAAGTCCAGAGGATGTGGCAAAATAAAAAAAAAGTGTCCAGGTTTAAAAAAGGCTTTTATTAATACTTTTCTGTATAATTAAACTAAGAAAGACAAGCTGTCGTGAAAGAAGGGAATTACAACTTGACCCAGAAGCTTGTAACCCTACTTTTTAACAGCAAGTAAACAGGCAAGATCACCAAAAAACAAAACAAAACAAAAAAACATCCTCTTCAACAGTGCAAGCAGCCATGCCACAAACTGAACCATCACTTTCATTTCTATATGAGCATCTGAGCTCCTTCCTCCTTTCTCTTTGTTCCTTTACCTGATAGATTTGTCCCTAAGATAATGAAAGCTCTTTGTTCCCTTTCAACATTTGTGAAACCGTCTATCAGGAACCTAGGGGTAACTTTTGATTCTGCTCTCACATTGGATGTTCATGATGTTCATTGAACTTCCACAGCCCTATGTCCTTAGCAGGTCCCTGAGGTCATACAATGCTGAGGACTAAGGGAGACAGAGCTTTTGCCACTATGAGCCCCAGACTATGGAACTCCCACTGAGCTTAAGATCTTTGGATTCAGTAGTCTCTTTTAACACATCTTTTTAGAATTGCATTTGGATAACTTTGTTCTGTTTTTGTTTTATGCATTGTTATCTCTGTATGAAGCACCTTGTGATCTTTTGTCTAGAAAGGTGCTATATAAATACAATTTTAGGACATCATCGTAGGACATTTTTTCAATGAAAATTAAAAGAGAAGAAAATTGTGACTTACGGTTTTGCCAACGTTTCCAGATGTACCAAGCAATGAAAGCAATGAAAGCAATGATGACAGCAGTGATGACAGCAGTGATGACAGCAATGATGACAGTAGTGTCATCAGCACCATTAGTGTTTATAGTGTTATTATTATTAACTGAAAAAAAAACCCAGAATAAATATGTTAGGTTTCTTTGTTTTTTTAACCATAGACTTCCAAAACAACACTCAACCATCAATTTTCCACACCTGCTTCTCCTGCTTGTGTGAACTGTTGGAATCAAATTGTTAAATGTTGTCATTGTGTTGCTTAAATTTGTAAGTCTTAGTTTAAGCAGCAGGATCAAAGACATTCCTTTGTCTCTGACCACCTCTCCAACCAGTTTGTTGGTGGGGGAGGCTGAAGTGTTTTATTATAGATTAGATTAGATTAGATTAGATGATTAGATGAAACTTTATTTATTTATTTATTTATCCCTCGGGTGGGTTCCTCCGGGAAATTCAGTTTCCAGTAGCAAAACATCCTATCTGAAGGTCCTGTTTTCTTGTGTAGTAAGCTTTCTGCTTTTATTACCCTTTTGTGGGCAGGAGGTCACACAAAGGCACCCCCAAACACAAACACACATTCTCGCACATACATACATGCACACACACACATGCTTATACGTGCACACACATACACACATAGTGCCTTGTCTTTTGTGACCATAGGGGGATTTTACAATGGGAGGTGCTTGTGTGTACTGTAACTGTTTTCAATAAAAGGGAGGCCAGAGTCGAGGTCGTCTGTGGTTGGATTCAGAGCGCTTTCCTGAGACACCGACCGGGGCTTCCCTTGCTAGCAAGTAAAATCAATGGATTGCTGATTGTCTTGTTTCCTTTGTTAACGAGAATAAGTTTCTAAACCAGCGGGGCCTGTGGAAGCGCAGACCCAACACGAACAGAGTAACAATAACATAAACACAAACAGCTGTGTCATTTGTTTTGTTTACATTGTATCTGAACAGACATCACAGGGAACAAAGAAGCTAACTGTGCTGGTGATATCTCATTAAGCAACAAATATTTACTTACTTGATCCATTAAACTGTTTTGTATCATGTTTTGCTGCATCTGTTGAAAAGTATTTTAATTTTGTTAAAATGCAGACAATTATATTTTTTAAAAAATATTTTGAATATGCATTACATCAGCTGTGCTTACCAACTTTTAGAGTAATTTTCCCCTTTCTGACTTGACTATGAAGTTTGGGAACATAGCAGATGTACACCCCTTCATCTTCTTTGCTCACATTTCTCAGCAATAAGGAAATGTTGCCTTTCCCGATTTCGTCACAGAAGAGATATGTTCTGTTTATAAAGTGACTGTTCTGCTGATTTGGATCATGTTTCATACTTCGATAAACATGCACATAAGTTTTATTGCGTTTCCACTCCACTGTGAGAGTCGACACATTAAATGGGGGCTCCAGGTGACACGGCAGAATGACGTCCTCACCGACATTTGCTTTCACTGGTTCATCTGAGCCAATCACATCAGACTCTCCTGCAAAACAAACATTCAATCAAATGATGGATGAAGTGGAATAAAATGTACAGATATAAAATGTACTAGCCAAAACAATATAACAAATAAACCTACAGCATATTTGATGGAGTGAACAGAAATTTAAGCATGTGCTTTCACTCAAAGCACAGACTGAAAAATAACATTCAAAAATCAGACTCATTAAGATTTAATTTAGCAATGACTGTGAATAATTAAATGACCTGCAGCCAATTCTAGATTTAAAAAAAATACGCTAAAGAATAGCACATAAAATACAGTAGCTTAATAATATGTCTAAAGCAAGTAGGTCAATAAATACAGTGAGTTTAAAACATTTAGACTGATTCAGATTGGATAGTAAGCAAATAACTGAGACTCTCAAAGTTGACAGAGAACTTGAAACCTGCCTTTTGAACTTAATTTTCATCAAAAAATGTGCATTTCTGTTCTCATTACATTTTTGGCGACACAAAAATATCAACTTTATGACCTAAAGCAGTCTTAAGATGTAAATTAGACAGCTTGCTACAAAGATACTGCCAGGAGATTTTACATGCTCTTCTTCTCATGGCAGCTGCATGTCTGCCAAATCTCATTTGCTTTCTGTTTATTACAGAATTATAGTGATGATAGCAGCCTTAAGGCACTGGCCACAACTGCACTGACTCTGCTATAAGGTATAAGAGGTGACATGTATGGGACTGATAACCACAAATTATGACCTTTCAATAGGCGGATCACATCAAAATGAACTGAAAGAAAATACTCAGACAGTTTATATCAGTTTCCTCAATAGTCATAGTTCAAAGTTTGGGTAATTTTAATATTTGCACCACATACTAACCAACAGTGAGGTTAACATAGCAACTTTTCTCCACATTATCAGTGATAAAGGAGCATTTGTATCTCCCGGTGTCAGTGAGTTTTAGTGAGGTCAGCATCAGTGACAGATTTCCTTTGGTTAACGCCTCATGGGAGAGAGCAGTCCGTGCTTCAAAATGCTCTCTCTGTGCTCCAGGATTATATTTTCCATTTTGACAAAGGATTACAACGTCATTCCCACGAGTCCACTTTACTGTCTCAGATGCTGCGTTCAGTGGGGGCTTAAGGTAGCACTGCAGGAGGACATGTTCACTGTATACTGCTTGTACTGGCTCAGAAGAGCAAATAATCTGAGGTTCTGTTAAAAAATAAAAACAAATGTTACATTAGGATTGGACACATTTTTGGCCAACAATCTACATCAAACGTAAGAACAAGATGGGTGAGGAGTCAAATTTACTGTGTGCAGGCAGGAATGGTGGACCCAAAAGTGCAGACTCACGGCAGGCAAAAGTGCAGTCAAAACTGTTTTATTGCTGACACAACAAAAATACTAAAGTGAAAATACAAAATACCTAAACAGGCTGGCAGACAAACAGAACACACAGCACAGAATGAGGAAGAACATGAGACAGAGCTAACGAGACAAGGGAAGCAAAACCAGACACATTAACACGGGACACAGACTGTCAACATAAAACCGGAAACACAACACCGAGATACGGACTTGACAAAGGGATACACTTACACTATACATTGTTAATAAAATCATTAACATTTTTCAGAAACTGGCAAATTTTTTAGATGTTTGCTTCTCTGGCCATTGCCATGACTGCTTCCTCTCTCTCTCTCTCTCTCTCTCTCTCTCTCTCTCTCTCTTGCTATATGTATGTGTGATTAAATTTAATGTTTATGTATGAACTCTGAATCAGAAAAAAAATGCATGCTAAGTGTTATGAATAAACACTAAGAAGCAACGAAATGTTAATCGCGTTACTTAAATTGGGAAGGCTGTAGCTCAAAAGGTAAGGCGGGTCATGTACTGATTAGAAGATTAGAGCTTCGATTCCTTCCTGCACCTGTATGCCAAATATTCCAAGTGAGGCAAGATTCTAACACAAAGTCGCTAGACAGAAAGAACTTAAGCACGGAGAAAGTGTGTGTTTGAGTTTGGATGAGGCATGTATTTATAAAATGTACATGTATGAAGTGCTTTGGTGGGGTTTTTTATAAAAAGATGAAAATATGTTTACTCACGTGTAGTTTCCGAGACAAACTGGTGACTGCAGACTGACAGCAAAACAAAAACCGTTAGATCCATTCAAAAGAACAAGAATAACATGTCTTCTTATCAGAAACCAAAAGACTGAACTGTGGCTCGTGACTTGTGAACAGAAAGAGAAAGAAAGCAAAAGAAAAAGGAGATGCTGCAATTAACTTTTGCTTTCTAGTCCCCGCCTACTTGGCCCAGTTTAACTCCACTGTAGAAAATATAATCTAATGAGAGGGAAGTATCATGGCTGGATTTCTAATCTGGCATTTGCAAAGTGCACTAACACACTCGTGGCTCAATATATATATTTTCCTTATCCGTAAATTATATAGATTACGGACCAACTGGCACCAAGGTGTGCCAAAAAAGTGATGCAAAAACTTTCATTGACATAAAAAAAATAGTTTTTCAAGTGAAGGCAGCATAATTTCTAATAAATATAACATCACTCTGCCCTTAACTCATTATACTCACAGTACCTTCATGCTATTTTTTTTTAATGTCCCACGTATTCCTCTGAATTTCCTAGTTTCTGGAGTTGTCGCATATTGCATTTGAGAGCATATCAATAATGCTGAATATCTAAGTTTTGAGTCCTGTGTTTAGGTCCATTTCCTGCCAGCAGCACCTTGCTAAAATGCCAGGGCTAACTTTTCATTTTCAATTTATCAATATATTATTTATTTCAATATATTTTTGTCCAGAACAGACTTACTCTAAATCATCTGACCCTTTTTGAACTGTTTTCTGTATCAAAAACACTCAATTAAAAGCTATGTATCAATGATGATTACACATTGACAGAAGGTATTTTTGAATTCGGTCCAGGTGATTATCCACAAATAAGTACTTTAAACATTTTAATGAATTGTTTTCATTTCAGTTATTCATTCATAATCATTTTGATTCCGAGCCTAAGAATTATGAGCTGCACTGTCCTCAACCCTTGCCCCTCCTGGATTGATGCTTTCTCCTGTATTGTTTAAGTCTTTTTTGAACATGAATGATCCCCTCCTCATTTCCCTGTACACAAAGTGGAAAGTTTCCACCATTAAAGTCAGTAATATATACATTAGAATAGTACTACCTGTATTCCTTGCAAGTTCACCTTTCCACCTGTCTCCCTCTCATTAACACACATGACATGTAGTCTGTATTGCTTCTACTGACTTTCATTCCTCTTCTCTCCAGAGCATACCCTCACCTGTCAGGGCTCTTTTGCACCTATTCTCTACTCTCACTATTTGATTCAGTTTAATTCAACTTAATTTACCTAGTGTCAAATCCCAATAACAGTTGTTCAAAGCACTTTATATAGAAAGGTAAAGGCCCTACAATAATACAGAAAAAAACCCAAGCAGGAAGCAGTTTGTGGCAGTGGGGGGAAAAAAATCTCCTTCTAGGAGTAAGAAACCTCCTGGAGAATGAGACTGCAGGAGGGCAGCCAACTGCTATAACTGGTTGGGATAAGGGGAAGGAGAAGAAGGAAGATTACAGATTACAGATTATTTCTCCATAAACCATGGAGACTTCTGCCTGACCTTACCTCTCAGCCTGTCCATCATCAGGGGGGATGGACAGGCTCAATGATGATCCCGGATGTAACCCCACCCTTACCTTGAACACATTTGTCACTCCTACCTAACCTTAACACTGTCTCACTGTCCTTATCCATGGCCTACACCACCCTCAAATACACCAAAAAAAAGTCCATGTTGGATTTATTTAATTCAATAGTGGACATTTGTTGCACACAAATGTTTTGCTTTGCCAGAAACTTAAACAACTGAGTTAAATTTACACAAGTTATTCATATTCAATAAACCTGTGCATTTTGTGTTCATAAAACCCGATTGAAACATGTTTAGATGAAGTAAGTTGAGCTCTTGAAATATTTTGATCCTTCAAAATGTTGTCATTTTATTTCAACACTATTCAATAACTTTTACCCCAATACTGCTTGGTCACTTAAATACTACATGTTTTCTTTAAATTATATAATGTTCGACAAAGTCTAGAGCAGGGGTCGGCAACCCTAGGCACGGAGGGTTAACTGATAGCACGACCATAGCTGGACTGGCCATCGGGCATACTGGCATTTGCTCGGTGGCTCGATGATTTCTTTTTTTTTAATAAACAATGAAAGGTGGTGGATTGGCCAGATGCTAGTCGGTGTGTAAAAATAACTCAATTATTTGGTGATGGCTATGGCGCTGTTTCCTCAGAGTCAGTAACATTAGCACGTGGTGGAGGCCAGCAGGTGGATGAGGGAAAGGGGAGGCAGGAGGAGAGACCCGAGGCGGCCGCCGGTCCGAGCGTCAGGTGAACTGAACTTCAGGTAAGAAGTTATGACCTGCAGTCTATCTGGGTCAGATATAAACCAAGTTTAGGTGGAGTTTATTTTCGTTGTGCTGACTTTTTACAGTCAGTTACAATAACTCGTACTGTGTACTAGCTAGCATGATAGAGTTTCTATACAGCTGGGTGGGTGCTATGATGTTACTGATAGTGAACTTTATTTTATTCATAAGGTTAGTTAGTAGAGTTGCCTACCTTCCCGTACAAACGGAATCGTCCCGCATTCAGAGAAAATATTGCGCGTTTCATATTGAGCTGAGAAGGAACACAGTTTGTCCCGGACTTTACTCGACTATGATATGAACAATTTAATCTACCCGCTCTGCATATTATGTAGTTTCTACACTATATAGTGACACTTAACTTTAAAGCACGAGGCACTGGTGTTAAATACATGCAAGATGCTTACATAAAACCAAGAGATGGCCAGTCCCTTTTTTTCAGTGTACTTCCTTGTCATTCCTGACTTCCTCATGCAGTATCACAGTTCCTCTCTTGGCACCCTATCACGTGCTGTCTCTTGAGTTTTTTGTTTATAATTTTGTAATTTTTAAAAAAAATAATAATTAGGAGATGGATCCAAAACTTTGTTCCTTTTTTATATTGCTTTGGTCAGTATTTGTCAGCATCAATTGTGTTTTACTAGCACAATGTGTGTGGTCTTACAGTTCCTTAGGTGGCGATATGTGATCACATGTTAAGTTCTTGCTAAACATAATGCCAAATACATTCAGTAACATTCACATCTATTCTCACTAGAAGTTTGGTTTCTTTAATATATACATTTTAATTTATAAATATGGACAATGATACACTATGCAAAGTCTGTACGGGAGCACAACCTTTCTGGAATATTCATTTATTTTTGTATTTATGCCTTCATTTCCCATAAACTCCCCAGTGGTTACCATGGAGTCTTACATGCAAGAGAAGAGTCTGGGTTTGCTCTGGGTTTGTGGGTGGCATTTTAACATTAGTCTGTAGCTGTTTCATATCCTGTTTCTCAGAAGCCAGTTTTTTTTCTCTTCTTTTTTGTTCAAGACTGGATTGTCTGATCAAGCCATTGCTTAAGTCTTTAAGCACAAAAATTGATTTGGATGCATTCACTAAGAACTGATTAGGTCAACAAACTATAACACATTCTTGATGTTACATTTAGTAAACACATAAATGATGAATTAATTTAGGCACCTTTAAAAGGTTTCAAATGAACCATTTAGAACTCAATCTAGCTTAAAATATAAATTCAAATTTTGCAAATAAATTTTTTTTTTTCTCGTTTGTTTTGTTTAAAGTTACTGAGTAGAGGCTTACATAGTTTCCTGTGTTAGGACAGGATGTGGTAGACTACATGTTGAACTGTAGGTGCAAATGACACATGTACAGGATGGAGGTCACATCACTTGTCTTCATGCTCTGTGAGTAATTTAATGCTTTAAAAAATATGTTCCCTCTTTTGTCTCAGATTTCAGGTTTCTTTTAATAATAATTTTGTTTGTAGCTTTCAGTGATTAACTTGGTCCTACAATGTTTTAATGAAATAAATAAATAAAAAATTAAAATTTGGTCAAAACTAGGTTTAGGTTGGAGTGAATATTGACATGCAATTTTCAGGGGTCACTTCTGAGTCCCTTTTGTGTGAAAATGTGATGGTGAAGGACAGAATACAAGATGAGGTCAGGGTGGAGTCTCTGTGAACTATGATGTTTGCAGTTGACATTGTCGTGTGTAGTGAGAGTAAGGAAGAGGTGTAAAGAGAACTTGAAGATGTGGATGCATGCTCTGGAGAGACGAGGAATGAAAGTCAGTAAAAACAAAACAGAAAACGTGAATGGGAGGGGGAAAGGTGTACCAGTGATGCTGCAAGTAGAGGTAGTTTTGATTAGTTTAAATATCTGTGGTCAACTATCCAAAGAAACAGACATGCACAGGTGAGGTGAAGAAGAGAGTGCAGGCAGGTTGGAGATGAGTGTCAGAGGTGATTTGTGACAGAAGGACAGAAGCAAGAGTGAAAAGGAAGGTTCACAAGATGGAAGTGAGATCTGCTGTGGTTTGTGTTGGGGGGATGGTAGTGCTGACAAAAAGACAGGAGGCAGATCTGCAGATATTTGATGGTGAAGATTGGGAGTGACAGGAATGGTCACAGTTAGAAACAAATACATCAGGCAGATGGGTTTTTCTCCACAATAGAGCAACATCTCAACAAAATTTGCAAACACATTATTTAGGAACCTACATGTACAGTCTGATTCCCTGAGTGCTGTGATTCTCTCTTTCAATCTTTCTTGATGATGGTTTTCACTGAGCTCAAGGAAAAGTGAAAAATGTTGTTGCAGTTATGTTCTGTACATACTCATAACAACTGCTCAGCCTTTCCTGTATTGGAGTATATTGTAGGCCAAGGTCCTAAAAGGTGCATTTGGGGAGGAGAAGAAAAAAATCCAGTTTAGTAAATGCAGATGGCTGTAATAGATTAATTAGTTTAACCAGTATATCTGGTCTAACAACACAGCAACTAGACATTTATTTCTAATATGCTCTCTACCTAGTTCTTTTTTTAGTCAGTCATTGATTTCACACCACTTAAGAGATAGTGGTTGTTTGACTGGGAACAAGTCGAAGTTTATGACAAATTGACTTCTCAGTTGAGCTGTGATCTCAAAGGAACCCTTATGGATGATTTTACCTTCAAAATTTCTGCCACCAGAAGAAAAAAACGAAAGCAAATGTCTGGAGCTGTAAATGGCCTGTATTTGTATAGCGCTTTACTAATCCCTAAGGACCCCAAAGCGCTTTACACATCCAGTCATCCACCCATTCACACACACTGGTGATGGTAAGCTACATTGTAGCCACAGCCACCCTGGGGCACACTGACAGAGGTGAGGCTAACAGACACTGGCGCCACCGGGCCCTCTGACCACCACCAGTAGGCAACAGGTGAAGTGTCTTGCCCAAGGACACAACGACCGAGACTGTCCAAGCCAGGGCTCGATCCAGCAACCTTCCTATTACAAGGCGACTGCCCAACTCTTGAGCCACGATCACCCTGTAGATGTTATATCTCTCTCCTGGCCTGCGAACACTTTTGTGTTTCCCCAGATAAGCTGTGTGAAAAGATTGTCTGGGCTTCTTTTGTTAGGCTGCTGACCCCATGATAAGTGCAAAACAAAAATGACTGATGAATAGATGAATTTTTCTAGTTTAAGTCTTGTTTAATAAAAAAATCTACTCATCCATTTTCTACTGTTTATGCAGATTTGGGCTGCGTGGGAAGCAATCTGAGCAGAGAAAGCCACACCTTTCTCACTAATTCCATCTCTTTTAGTTCATCCAGGGGGATAGAGAGTTATTTCCAACCCAGCTGAAATATAAAAATCTGTCCAGCATGTCTTGGATGTGTCTGGACCTTTCTTGCTATGCCTCTCTCGCTACGGTTATACAGTAGTGAGAGAAGCATAGCAAGAAAATATCCCCCACAGGATACTCCAAGGGACAAAACTGAATGTGCAACTGGTTATGCAAACACACATGCACCCTTGAATATCCTGGAGAGGATAAAGAGCTGCCCAGTGTTCTGCAGACAGGGCAAAAGTCATATTGCTCCTGCTGAATCCCAGGTTTGACTAAAGGACAGACTCTCCTCTTCCACACCCTGGCATTAGCTGATGAGTTAGATGTCCCTACAGTTGAGCAGACCCTCAGGTCTTCCTTCTTAAATAAGGGAACCATTACCCCAGTGTGCCAGTACAGAGGCACCACCCCAGATCTCCATGCAATGTTGCAGAGATGTGTCAGACAGGACAGCCCTATAACATTCAAAGCCTTTAGGAACTCAGGATGAATTTCATCCACCCCAATGACCAAGCCACTAAAGAGTTGTTTGACAGCATTAGTGACCTTACTCCCAGTGATAGAGTTGTCCTCCCATCCACAATATAACTTTTTTTTTCTTTTCTGGTGATAAGGAACACTTGTTAAATTTTGATGTAATCATTAAAATATATATATTTTTAATTCCTGTATCTCTCCCTCTCTGCAGCCACACTCAGCATCACCCCCAACAGACTGCAGTTCTTCCAGTATGACAGAATTGAACTGAAGTGTGTGGCAAACTCTACTGGCTGGACAGTGAAGAGAAACACTGGCTCAAAGATTGAGGAATGCACGTTTGGCTGGGGAACCCCGAGTGAGTCATCCTGCATCATCGAGGATGCCTACCCGAAAGATACTGGAGTGTACTGGTGTGAATCTAAAAAGGAGTCCAGCAAAAACATAACAATCACGGTGATTGGTAATGTCATGGCTGTATGTTTTATAATTGATAGGTTAATAATTCTTTCTGATATATTTTATTAACCTCAACTAGACATGAAAAAGTAATCAATATTTGCACTGCTGTTTATTGTTTTATTTTCCAGCTCATGGTGTGATCTTGGAGAGCCCCATAGATCCAGTGATGGAGGGCAACCAAGTGACAATTCGCTGCTCCTACAAGGGAGAAGATGAGGACATTTCAAAGTCAGATTTTTCAGCTGCATTCTACAAAGATGGTGTTTTCATAGGGACAGGTGATGCAGGGACGATGACCTTTTCAGCTCTGTCAAAATCTGACGAAGGCTTCTATAAGTGTAAACACCCGTCAAAAGGAGAGTCAAGACAGAGCCTCCTCGCAGTAAGAGGTGACATGATCCGTTTGTTCCTTTGTAGAGTAGTTCTGTTTATGCTTTATCTTTTTCACTCAAGTAGTTCCCAGTTTGTTCTACCTTGATAGCTTTTGAGAACGAGCTGTTATGAAGCAAAAGTTCCCACATAGCAAAATTGCTATGGCCCGGACCACAATGTGCTTACACATGGCCCACATACCGCAAAGAATGATGGCCCTTTGGTGGCCCAGATCTGGTTTGCCAAAGGTGTTGTAAATACATGGAAACTGTTCCAGATTAGGAACCGGCACTGGCACGATGTTGGTAGGACAGGCGTTAAAACTAGGAAGCTAAGAACAACGCATATATTTCTTTGTCAAATGTATTTATTTTGATGAAACTCTTAAAGTGGATATATAGCCTGACACACAAATGAAAAAAGAAAAAAAAAATCCAACCAATTGTATAGAAGACACATAAAAGTTAGGAGTCACTTTAATATTTATACATGTTTCTACATTTGTATTTTTTGGGAGCCAAGTTCACACAATGGAGCTCCTCAGTTTCTGTCTCTGTATATCAATGAAATAATTTTTTATACATGGGCAAGAAAAACTGTGAAAGCCAAAAGTTATACTAAACCTAAATGAATAAATTCTTTTTTAAATACCATAAATTGAATTTTATTTTCTAAATTATCATCTGGATCACCAGTACTTGTGTAAAACCAAATGATTGAATGTCCAGTTTGTTTCTCACACAGTGGAATTCAAGAAAGTAAATCCTACCACCCTGCCTCCTCCTCCTATCATACCCTGGGCCAGAGTGATTTCTAGTGTCCTCCTCTTCATCCTCTACAACTGTGTTCTTGTACTGTGTATCTACATCTACCGGAAGTGGGCTCGAGGTAAGAACACCCAGACACTTGAAACCTAAAAGAATACAGTATCTTCTTCTTCTTTTCCCTCTGGCTGTTCCCTTTTGTTCCCTGTTTTCTTTTTTGTTTTTTAATGTACAGCCTATGTAACATAGAAAAAGAAGTGAGACCCTTCTTGATTTTATTGATTTTTAAGTTATTTTCTAAATGCACCGATATTGTTTGCTTATGCGTATGCCTCGTCTTTATTGTATTTGGAATCAGATCCCAATTTAAATTTCAGAAGAGAAAATAGTTTTTAATGTCACTTGTGGCTCCTCTTAAAGAGATCTTTCCTTGACTTTTCCTGCAGGCAAAACTAAAAGGAACGCTTGTGAGTTGCAGCCATGATGAGCCCTGCTGGAAATACCAAAGAAAAGATGAACTGCAACGTTTTTCATACTGAACTTGGTCATATGCTAGCTTTTATATTCACACCAGGAACATTGCAATTAAGTATCTCAACATTTATCCTTCTTAAAAAGTTGATTCTGTTCATCTGGACGTAGCATTTTCAGTGGGCAAAACATTTCGTCACTCATCCAAGTGACTTCTTCAGTCTCAGCTGACTGCACGTTTCCCCAATCTTATAAACAGTACATTGGACGATAACTGTAACTAGCACCACAGAATGAACAATTGGCTATGAGGTAATTTCCTTGATCATTAATATGTAAATTGTTGTGACTATTGATCAACAACCACTGATCAAATCCAACTGATGAAAGACCATTGTTCAATCAACACACATTAAGACACAGACTTACAAAATACAGGGAAGAGAAGGAAGGAGACAGACAACACTAAGAAGACACAGAATGAGGGTGAGAGAGTCAGAGACAAAGAGCCACTACTGGGGAAATAGAAATACAAATAAATATTGATACAACACTGATAGGGAATGCAGGAAAAGATACAAGAAAAAGACTAAAAAACAAGGAACTAAGAACTAGAAACTTAAGTAACAAAAATTCAGAGGCTCTCTAAAAATCAGAATCCAAATATACTGCAAAAACACACAACAAGTTTAACAAACTCAAAAACCTGGGTCAAAGACCCAGGACCATGACAACCAAGGGCTAAAGTCCCGCTGACGACATAGTCCCTAGAATTCCTGGGAAACACAAACCCTCTCCACCAGGATAACGTAGCAATTCACAGAGGAGTTTAAACTAGCACTTGATGTAAAAATGTCCATATATAAATTTATATCAATTTACAGTGAACATGATTCTAGTAAAGATTTATTTTAAGTAACTTTAAGTAAAGTTATTCACCAATGGCCATGAGTACCATTCTCAGAGAGTTGGGGAATGGCTGCAATCACAGCATTGTAACATGGTGACAGATGTACCCTTAGGCCCCCTCCTTGATTTTCATGTAAATGCAGCCATTCCACTTTCTGTGAATGGTACTCATCGCCATTGATCAGTGGTCTTTGATCTACGATCAACAGGATTTGATCAATAGTTGCTGATCAATGGTCATGACAATTTACATATTAATGATCAAGGAACTGACCTCCCAGCCTATTGTTCCTTCAGTGGTGCTAGTTTCAGTCATAGTGCAAATGTACTGTTTATAAGATTGACCTGCAGTCAGGTGAGACTGAAGAACTTGGATGAGTGACGAAACGTCCAGATGAACAGAATCAACATTTTGGGATTTGCTTACCTGGATGAATAAATGCATCAAGACAACATTTATTGTTTTAAAAAAAAATCCTCAGCTTAAAACAAGTATAACATTGTTCACATAGTGAATGGCATGCTTGGATGACTGTGATGTTTACTGTGATGTTTACTCTGTTTAGCCTGCATACTCTGAAATATTTACTTTACTGTTAAATTTGCCAATAAGCTATTGTCACTGCACAATAGTGTCACTTAATAAAACTGAAAGATATTTTATTCCACCGTTTGCACTTCCTGTCATAGAAACTGTCATGTATGTAATGTCATGTCTTCCTGTCATGAAACTAGGAAGTAGTTTGTGCTAAGTGGGGTCATATGTTTACGTCTTGGTCGCAGACAATGACACGAATACCTTGACTGTCATTGTTAGTGCCCAAGGTCAAAGTTGACCTTGAAAAAAATGTCAAGAAACCATGTAGACTAATAACATATCACGTGAAAGGGTTTACAAAACATTTTATTTTATCAGATACAATGCCCGTTGAACACAACACATTCCATTAATAAATCTTAAAATTTCACATTTTTGCAGACAAAGATTTCAGCCATTTCTGCTCTGATCATGTGAAAAAAGATCATAAAATACACCATGCAATAGTATGCAATACTTCAAAGTCAAAAAAAACTAAAATTAAAAAAAATAATTAAACTATCCTACTATAAAGTGTGTAACTGTAAACATTTGTGTATTTACTGTTCAATGTAGATTAAAATAAGTTGATCTGAACATCTTTATGTTACTAGTCCATTGGAAGCAGGTACTGCAGATTCATTAAGTTATTGATATACTGTACACCCTAGATTTGAAAGAAGCAAGTAGATTAACTCTTTTTCTTTAATAAGGTACAGTTGCACTTTATTAAATTACAATTGTACTTTGGTAAACAAACTGAATACTGGGTGCAGCTATTAAATATGTTTTTCTACATGTTCTAAATACACAGTAAGCAGTTTCCCACACAGCCTTTAGACTGAAATGGATTAAACTGGGTCTAGAAGTAACAAATACCCACACCTGTTAAGCTAATTACTACAATTTAACATCCATTTATCAGTTTTAGTTTTGAATTGTGGTTTTTAAAAGGCTTGCCATGGTAAATGCAATTAAACAGGAAAATAATTTAAATGTAGATGTACAATAATGGCAATTGTGAAATAAAAAGATTTTTAGATTTTAATTGATTGTTCTTTGTATGGAGAGTGGGCATTGCATGTTTACCTGATCATGAACTTTTGCTTTTTAAAACAAAATGCACATAATTGATAAATTAACTGATTGCTATAACGGCGAGCTACAGTTTGATGGACATTTTCTGTCTCTGCCTGGAGGGAAGAGTAGAAAGTAACTGAAATATAAACATGAATTCACAGACATGCATACAGCAGAGAACTGTCAGAAAGATAACCAATACAGCATACGTAAGAGGATTTGATATTAGTCATCAAAAACCCCAACATATAGAAAACAAGGATCATAAGGCTACAGGAAATGCCAGATGGTTTAAACAGCACTGAGCCTTAAGACCTGTGGTTCATGCCTTCGTGTGAGAAAACAAATCTCATGAGTTTGTGGTTTAAAGAGGGAAGCATAACACTGTATGTATGCTTAGTTCACTTCATACAGTTTAAACAAATCTAGACTTCAATACAACTTCGAAATGAGAAAGGAGACAGCCAAATAAAAAGATATATAGTGGTTACATTTGGTAGCACCCAGACATGTAAAGTGTTAGTGTTCAGCAATACAACAGAAACACAGCAAGCTTTAGAAGCTTTCCTTTAGCACCACCTTGTGGCTTTCATGAATCGTCTCCTGAATCAGCTTGGATAAAATCTGTGACTATATGGCTAAACTAATTTATATGATCCTTTGGCCACAGCTTGACAAATAGAGCTAAGTAGGAAGAAAAAGAAATCAAATCTGAGATTGAGGTTATAGCCACCAAGAACACCAATTTGAGTTTCACTGCAGTTTGTAGACTTAAACACACCCCAGCCACGTTTATTATATACAGCTTGGTGGTACAAACTTGAACCCACTTTTGCCGTCAGAGCTGTTTAATTCTTTGTGGCTTAGATTCAACAAGGTTCTGGGAACATTGCTCAGAGATTTTGGTATTCACAAAGTTGCTGAAGATTTGTCGACCTATGAAACCCATTCAAGCACGTCACAAAGGCATTCAATCTGATGACTTCGGAGGCCATGTGAGAACAGTGAATGCACTGTGATATTCAAGAAACAAGTTTGAGATGATCTGAACCTAGTGACATAGTGTGTTACCCTGCTGGCAGCAGCAATGAGAAGTTGGGTAAGCTGTGGTCATGAAGGGATGAACAAGGTCAGCAACAATACTCAGGTAGGCTGTGGTGTTCAAATGGGATTCAGCTGGTACTAATTGCTGTAATTAGTGGTTGTTTGAGTTACTGTTTACTGTAAATGACCTCATTAATATTTTGTAAAGTAGTGTGTAAAGTTATGAGTGACTATTATATTGTTGGAGCGGATGCTTTTTTTTTTTGAAAGTCACAGAGTGACAAGGTGCCGTAAATTAAGTGGCGTAAACTATATAGCAGAAGCACAAGTTTTAATTACCGTAATTGTTGGGCTATAAGCCGCTACTTTTTGCACAAGCTTTGAACCCTGCGGCTTTTAGTCAGGTGCGGCTTTTCTATGGATTGTTCATGATTTTTGTCATATCGTAAGACGATTTGTTTTGTTTGTTCCGCTGTTGTACGGCACTACGTTGCCTGGCGGAAGGGCATGTGATCAGACACACAGTATCGGGGTTCAAGAGTGGTATGTTGGTCACATGTCCATCCGCCAGGCAACATAGTGCCGTACAAGTAGCGCGAAAAACAAACTTCAAAGTAGCGTTCAGCGGGAGCCGTGGATGACGAGTGGTGATAAATTTGCGAAAAGCAAGTTATGCTCAACTCCACCGGTGGAATCTGACAGCGTGGAGAAGTGTGAAAACATCCACGATCACCAACGGAGGAGGACACCGCCACGGCCCTTCTGAGGGTGTTCGACATGTTAAAATCCAGTGGCACCAAGGCATTATACAAAAATAATGTGATTAATACATGAGTGAAAGAAATTCCTATACAATCAAGGGTGGGATTGTATAGGAATTTCTTTCACTCATGTATTAATCTTGTGCCTTGGTGCCACTGGATTTTAACATGTCTGACACTCATACTTAAGACAAATGGTAGGGGGTGTAGTAAGGAAGTTGGGGGAAGCAGACAACTCCACAGGAAGAATCTTTTGTCTCTTCGAGGACTCTGGGAAGTAGCAAGGGAGTGTGAACCTTAAGGTGTGAAACAGCTGTGTACTGCCTTTTGTTCCTGGAGAAGGTATTTAACTGAGAGCCATGCTAGGCTCAGTGAGACTCTGCAGACCCTTCCCCGTGGTCATGTAGGCTCTCCATCAAGCTTGGTTGTCTGTTGTCTTTGTGTGCTTTGATTAAAGAATGTTAGCTACCGCTCACCGCTCGTCTGCAGGCTTTATTTAAGTGGAAAACTTCCACAACACTCCACTATTCAAAGTTATTAGAAGAAAAAAAAAAATACACCCTTTCTACAGCTTTTATGATGTGGAGACGATCCACAGAGACAACAAATTTAACCCTGTAAATTTGTTTATTTCTACAGTAATGTTTGACATTGTTTACATGTGAGTCTAATCAACTAGTCTATAATGATCATGTGATTATTATAGGAACCACAGTTTTGGCCCTTCTGCACTTTTCCAATGAGAGAACTATGTTCATCTTGTATGTAGAAATGGTGATTTCACTTAATATTCACTTTAGATTGCACACTGTAAATTCTGCAGTAAATTAAAAACAT